CGCAAGTCATGCATACTGTGCTTCAACATAATATTACCGTATTGTGTGCGTATAAGGACCACAAATGGCACCTGTAAGAGACACAGTTAGGAAGCAGATTTCAAACTCCAGGCTGTCAGTCACGCAGTAGAACTTGGGAACAGAGCAGCTGCAAACTCTGTCTTTGTTATATGCTCAGCGTTTAGTTTACATTTTGACTGCACAATCGTGAGTGTTTTGTTATATACAAAAACAACATTGCTTTATTTTATTTATGGAGAATTATTATTTAATAAATGCTGATAATTTATTTCTGACTAATTTTTTCATGTACATCTGTGCTGTATGTTAATAAAAGAGCCTGTGTGACATCTGGGACACAGTGTGAGTAAGAACTGTCTTTTTGTTCTTACTTTATGGCTTTAACAAAATATCGAGATATATACCGTATATCACCATCCAGCTAAAGACTATCGAGATATGAATTTTGGGCCATATCGCCCAGCCCTAGTTAATAGAAAAAAGAAGAATGAGCTGCTCTTAGTTTAGTGTTAAAGAGCCTAAAACAGGTCTTTCCATCAACATGGAAATATTACATTTCTGTGCTGACAATTGCTTTTAAAGATCATATTCAGTGGTTCAGGGTTCTACAAAAAATGCTAGTAAGTTTGTTTACATGTATTTAGATGAGCTTTCTTTAGATATCGTTAATAAGCAGTTGAACTGGTGTCAGTTGAGTGCAGAAGTCTCAGAGAAGGAAGATTACCCTTGTTCTCTGACCTTAGCAAACACTTTGTCTGATGATGTTAATGGTGATGTTCATTTTGTAAATGTTGTTCCCATTAGAGTCAAAAAGGCAGGATACGCTTCAGGGACAAACATCCTTAGCCAGATAAAAGGTAGATATAGCCCCCATAATATTACCCATTGGTTTGGAGATCATACATGCATGAGCATTAGCATTTTGGCCATCATGTTGTATTTTTGAAACTAGAAATTATATGGATCACTATCTTCAATTTGGTTAACTAAAGGATATTTTAGTGTAAGTATTAGTTTTGTTTAGTAGAAAAAGTGATGTTGCCATCTCTCAGTGATTCAGAAGATTTTCCACTTGGGCATCTCGTGACGACAGCCTACGCTCAGCATTTGACAGAATGATAAAAATTTATGATGACTTGATGCGCCCTGAAGCAGCGCTGACCTACCCGCATTTTGAATTAATTCATGACTGGCTTTACCGAGTGAGTCGTGACACTCGCACAGAGAAGGAACACACCCAGTCGTTCCCTGATGGTGCGCATTGTGCCCGGAATGTCAGCTGGTTTACCTGGTTAAGCTGCGCCCATTACCGTTAATGGAGATCCCATTTAAGCATATTAGCATGGACTGGAGTGCACACGGATATGGCTTTGTGTTAGTTCTGGTGGATTATATAAAGCCAAATCCCAAAGCAGTCTCACTGCGCACCATTTTTGCAAAGAGTGTGGCGCAGGTGCTGTTTCGGGTCATCTCTCAAATCAGATTCCCGAAAGAGATACTGACCAACTACAGAACATCATTCATATCTCGCACAGTAAAAATGCTGTACAAATCTTTGGGCATTAAATCTGTTCGGCCCAGCATCTGCAACACTCAGACTGATCGGTTGGTGGAGCAGCTGAATAAGACTTTAAAGCCCATGATTCGTAAGTTCATTCATAAGGATGAACGCAATTCGGATCACTGCTTGAAGTGAATTACTGAAAATCACGGGGGTGTTGGAACTGATTAAAGAAAACTAGGGGTAAGGTCCAACCCCAGCTAAAAGTGAGATACGTCCTGGATCTGAGAGCAAAGCTGCACACGATGGGGAGGTTGTCACAGGAAAATCTGCTCCAGGCCCGGGAACGGCAACAGCGCCTGTACAACAGAGGGGCTAGACTCAGGCAGGTTTCGCCAGGAAACAAAGTGCTTTCATTACTCCCGCCTATCAACTTAGTGTTACTCGCCAAGTGGCAAGGACCCTTCCTGGTCAAACAGCGGATGGGTGATATTGACTATGAGGTGGTAAGGTCGGACAGGGCAGGAGCCTCACAGATATATCACCTCAAACTTCTTAAAGCATGGAGAGAAACTAAAAATGCTTCTCTGGTGAGCCTGGTTGGGGAGAGAGATGAGTTGGGGCCGGAGTTGCTAAATTCCACCTTTCCCACCTCCCTCCATTGTGATAACCATCTCACACAGGCCCAGAGGGTAGATGTTGTTGCGTTACAGATGTGTTCACCAAAAAGGAGGTGAGACCGTTCCTGGGGCTGGCTGGGTACTACCGCCGGTTTGTTCCTGGCTTTGCGGAGCTGACCAGCCACTTGACTGATCTCACCCAAAAGGTTTCCCCCAGATCTGGTCCAGTGGATGGAGCAGTGCCAGGTGGCATTTGTGCAAATGGGAGCCACTGCTCCACACACCTAACTTCTCCCTCGCTTTTACTCTGCAGACAGATGCCTCGAACAGAGGGCTGGGGGCCATTTTGTCCCAGCAGGTAAGGGGGTCCACCGCCCGGTCCTCTACATCAGCTGACAGACCAAAAAGGAAAATACTGCATGATCGAAAAGGAGTGCCTGGCTATCCAGTGGGCGGTCGACTCCGTCCTGTATTACCTCCTGGGAAACTCATTCACCCTCTGCTCAGACCATACGCAGAGGGTACCAGCGCCTGGATCGCCAAGTGGTATCTGGCTTTGCAGCCCGTTAACTTCAAGGTGGTTCATAGGCCAGGGGCACTAGTCTCAAAAACTCTGGATGCAACACAAGGACAAACTAATCAACATATTTGTTCTAGTTGTACCTTGAGGTGGCTGTTGTTGTAATTTGGTGTACCATAAATACAACTGAATTGAAATTAATTCTGGGATATTTGTACCACACCACGAGCCATAGTATCAGTAAGATGCTCATGAAAAATACTCTAGAATGATCCAGCAGTACACACAGTGAACAGGTCCAGATTAATGACTAATAGTAGTGGATGAGGCCTAGCAGATGCCAGCTACCTGTATTGGGACACCTATCAAACAACAAAGCAACATCTCTTATTCAATTACTATCCAGGTGTATGAATTTAAAAAAAAAATACACCCCATTCAGAGTTTTTATGAGTTGGGGAAACTACCCAAAACAATTCTATGTATGACTACTGTATATATGGCTATTCGGTCTATAGGGATTAACTCAATTTTGGAATGAGCGGCAATGAGATGAGCAGCAATTTTGTCAATTTCAATGTTTGTTTCATTTTTCAGCTCTAAATACAAAGATGGCAACAAGAAAAAGTTTAGCTTAAACCTACACAATGAGATTTCACTAACCTTTAGAAGTTCACCATTTATTGGAATTTTTGACCATTCTTCCAAAAGCTCATTGGTGAGGTCAGACAATGACATTGGAAAAGAAGACCTAGCTTGCAGTATCTGCTCTACTTCAATCCAAAGGTGTTCTATCTAGGTCTTGAAGTCAGGACTCTGTACAGGCCAGTCGAGTTCTTCCACACCAAAACGAACTCACCCGTGTTTTCATGGACCTTATTTTGTGCACTGGTATGCTCTTATATTGGAACAGAAACTGACCAAAATGTTTTGATATGCAGGGATAACTAAGGGGCTGAGCTGCTTTACCTGCCATAGCAGATAATAGCAGTTAGGTGGAAAGAATGGAAAGTTGATTCCATATTTACTTGGTTCCAAGCACATTCAGATTAATAAGTGACACCAAATAATTTCTGTAATAATAATAAGAAGAGAAAGGTGTATGAATTATGCCTTACAATTTAAAAAGGACTGAATAAACACAGCAGATAGATGCGTTAATGATAACTTAACACATCTAAGCAAAAATCACTGTGTCAAAATGGAGTTAATAATAATATTGTTTACTCAATGGTAAATATGAATTCGTCTGGTGTCACGACTGTTGAGTAACATGAAAAGCTGAGTTTCCAGTGATTGTCAGTGCAGACAGTGAGTTTGACAATATATTTTCTATGCACCATTTTTCCCAAACATCATTTAATATGCATATATTCATGATTTAATTGTGTAGCTCTGTAAACAGGCCATATATTATACATAAAGTACACACAGACTAACAAAATAAACATACATTTAGAAATTCAAATGAAATACAGGTAAGTAAACCTAACACTCCACATAGTCACCTGGATTCCGTGTCATATGTGAACAGGTCATAGTGTTAATACTGAAAAGAGAAAAGAATCTGTTGAATTTTCCTTGTACTGAAAAGTCAGGGACCCATGTGACACAACTGAAAGAGCCATGCACCACATCTCATGCAATGAAGGGGCTCTGCAAACTGAACCTTGGCATTAGGTCATGTCTTTTATTCAGTAACTCTGAACCATGTGTGTAAATATTTAGGAGACCTGGTGACATAATGTGTATGGCGAAGTGATGTACTGAAGCCAGGCTTTTAAAATGAAATCTGAGGAATCATCATAAAGACGCCTGTGCTCACATATCAGTTTTCACATCATATCTTAAAGATTAGTGGTGCGTCACAGTCCCTTTCCCTGGATTTTGAGGCAAAAACTGAAATGATCGTCATTGGTTTATGAAGTCCACAATAACATTACAGAACAGATCATTAATCTGATTCAGTACAAATACTGTCAATATATTATATCACCAATTACAACCAGTGACATTACTGGTTATAGCGATCATTTTGGGAATCTTTGAAACAGTCATATGTATCAGAACTTTAAAGACTGCAGTAACACTTGTGTTATATTGCACAATGGATGTACTGGAACTACTGCAGGACTACATGAATGGAAGGAGCACTGATGAGCAAGCAGATTTCTGCACATCAACATTCATGATGTGCTTTGCATTTACTGTGCATGGTTAACACTGTGAAGTCAGTGTCAGTGATGAATCTTGGCAATCAGGACAAAGCAAATAATCTCTGTAAAACACTGGTGTGGAATTAGGACTTGGAGCTCGGTGCTAGAGGTCATCGTCAAGTGTCAGAATGGCTGAGTGGTCAAAGGCGCTGTGTTTAGGCTGCAGTCTCCTCTGGAGGCGTGGGTTCAAATCCCACTCCTGACAGGAAATTTCTGCTGCTATGTTAACTCAAATCCCCCCCTGGAATTAATAAAGCTTGTCTCATCATCAGTTGTAACTTAGTACTCAGGATACTCAATTTAAGCATGCAAACGAAAACACATTTGCAAGTGTATTGTAATTTATACAGGCAATGTTCCCTGCAATGGGCTTATGCACTATTTTATACTGATTGTAAAGAAAAGATGAGACAGGAATGTCACACAGAGTTTTTGAAGTCTTTGAACTTTTAGTATATATCGAGTATGTGAACTTTTTTCTCTTTTTTTGGAGCCAGAATTAGTGATTAGGTTGGAGGGTAGAGTCTTGCTGCATCCATATAAACTATGAGGTTGCACTGCACAGTATGTACTCGGACAGTGTGTAACAGAGAGCAAGCCGTACTGTCAGAGAATTCCATTAAAAATGCTCCAAAAGGCACCAACAGCATAAAAAAGGCAGAGAGGTCCAGGTCAGTGAATTGAGAGGCCTAGCTGACTGGTTACATCTTCCCGTGTCAGCACAAAGACAGTCTGTAACTTAGCCACAACTTTAGGATGTGTAATAAAAAGGAAAAAAGGTATCTCCTCATTTTATAAATTTGTATCTTTTGTGAGGACAAACCAATCGTTTCATAACAATGAGCTTTGTGTGTCACTTTGTTGGGCCGAAAGTGTCTCCATAAGTGTTTGCCAAATAAGGAATGTATGCTGATGAATTCATTCTAATCACTGTGTAAATGTTTGCCACACAGTAACAGATTTAAAGCTGCACTCGTCCAATTATTCACGTGTTTGTTCAGAATAAATTACATTAAGTCACAAAAGTTTTAATTAAACCCTGCAACCAGGTAGCCTTCCTCTCACTAACTAAACATCACCACGGTTTTCCTTTAAAGAGTTGAATGAGATGGGTGTGATTTTACTTAACACTGTTTTCTCTGAAATCACCTGCCCATCGTTGACAGTTTAATGAATCCATGAAATGTATTAAAAATTTTGTTTGTCTTTGTCTGTCTGATATAAATATGTTAATTATGAAGCCTCCTTTCATCGAGGGATGATAAATGCATTTAACGCTATCACATTTGTTTATGTGCAGCACTGTGTTTTCCCATATGGAAAAGATATATATAAATCTTATAAAGTTTGTATCTGTCTTGTGTGAAACTTGTATGAAAAGCATACAAGAGTGATCCCTTGAAAAATTATATAAATGAAACTTGTATGTTTTGGATACTTAGTAAAACAATATATGAAAGCAATGAGAAAGTGGCCACTTTCATGAGTAAATCATATAAGTTTTTAATATTTCTTTTCCAAATGGGTTGCTTGAATAGTATCAACCTTAAATTAACCTTTGATGTCGGCCGGTCAATGTAGATAATCAATGAAATAGAAGAAAGAGAATCTTTAACACAGCGTATAAACTCTTGACAGTCCCAGAGGTACTAGCCCAATTTCTAAATCACTTTTAAAAAAGAAGCTGCCTGCTGAGTTGTTTGGGTTGTACTCATGCCACGTAGCAATAACAAGGAGCCGATGTGAAGATCTGCACACATCAGAAAATTCAACTTGGGAAGGGCAGCACTAGGATACTCTCAAAACAGAAGCTTCTCCAATGCAATAATTAGGGACGCATTAATTAAAATTTTCATACTACCACTCCACCAAATGCTTTTGTGTGACATAAAAATAGTGTCTCATAATAAAGGCGAAACAGAATTATCTCTCAGTTCTGTAGTTAACTGGATGGAGCTTTGTAGTGTACTCCAGCTCACCGTTTTGATTTCATGGTCAGGCGGAAACTTTAACAATTTTAAAATATGTTTGTACTGTTAGGTCATCACCCAGTCGCAGAGAAGAGTTGAAGCCGAAGTGAAACCGAGTGCCAAAAAGAAAGAAAAATATCATCCACGTCAAGGAAAATGCAGTTGGAATTTTGGAGAACTGCATTGGAGCACTTTTACTCATTAAAAGTTAAAGGTTAAAGATCCTTATCCTTACACTGACAGACAGAATCACAGAATCATAAATTAAGCATTGTGTTGTTTGTTTTTTCCTGCTGAAGTAGACAGTACTGGCTTTTGAAACCAAGGATCTGTTCATTCTTTTCTACATAAGGCTGAACAGATGCATTTGTGTTAAGTATATCATTTTTTAACTCTTGGTAAAGCTATAGTATTTGTGAGATGTATTTGGTTTTACAACAACAGCTAGGCAAGTTAGGTAAGCTAAGTAGAGCTAAGTACTAGCTTGTTTGTGTTGCCCACTTATTCATGCATTTATTCCAAATGCAGTGACAGCAGACTAATCACTCTAGTCCAAAAATCTCTTCACTCACAGCCTCCAGCTCCATCCTAAGGGATCCTCAGGTAAGATAAAATATGCAGTATGATGTCTGCAGCCTTTTCAGTGTCTCCTGCTAATCAGTCTGGAATACCTCCACAGGGACACATCTGAGTGACATCTTGATCAGGTGCCTGAACCACATCAGCAAGAGCAGCTATTTAGACTTCCTCTGACATACTGTCAGAAGAACCTAAAAAATCGGACACTGCTTGCACCATAAAACCCCTCTTAGCTACAGCATGTAGCATTATACTTTTAAACTGTAAACTGAAAAAAATATTTAGATACCACACAAATGAAGCAAATAAAATCTGGTTATAATGTTTTCAATTATCAGTGCTTTGTCAGCAAGACCACAAGTTCCTGTCAAGAAGTCTAAGGAGCTTGAAGTCTAAGGGGGAGGGGGTCACTCACATCGTGGGCCCTTTGACCTCAGTAAAACACATGATAGCGTGGGGCTAGATTTCACAATGGGTTCACCCAAAACCTTGGCTGATTGTGACCCACACTCGTTTTCACACCTTGGCTCGTGTGATTAGGATTATGGTTTTCTTATATCCCGCATCAGTGATTTTAAAATTTTGAGTGTAAGGTAGACGAACATTTTGAGACTTTTTATTATTTTTATTTATTATTGTTATTATTAAGGGCAGCACAGTGGCACAGTGGCTAGCACTGTTTCCAGAAAATAAAATACCTTGTTGTACCTTTAGAGTTACAATATTTTGATGCTAGGAAGTAACCCCCATAACATTATGAACAATTTGTCCTCAAAGCTAATGTGCTAGAAGCAGGAAAATCTGGTGATTTGAGCAAACGGATCAGAGCATTTTAAAAAGTGCATTTCTTGTGAGGTGTTCCAAGTCTGCAGTGGTCAATATCTATCAAAAGTGGTCGAAGGAAGGAAGAGCAACAGGGTCATGGGCAACCAAGTGATGCACATGGGGAGCGAAGGCTGGCTCATGTGGTCTGATCCAACACACCAGTTGTAGCTCAAATGTCTCAAAACGGTTAGTGGTGGTTCTCGTAGAAAGATATCGGAATCCACAGTTGGTCACAATTTGTTGCATGCATAAGCTGCTGAAAAGTTAGAGACTAATCTGATCCCAACGATGGGAAGTTTCACATTAGAACTGGGCCACGAACCAATAGAAGATGGTGACCTGGGCTGATGACTCATGTTTTCTTACACCAAAATGCACTATGGGACGAACGCAAGTCAGCAAAGGTACAATGTTCTCCTGGGAAACCTTGGGTCCTGCCATGTATACCCTTTAATAGCAACATTATTCCATTTAACCTTGTTAAGCAGGATAATGCACCTTGGCACATTCTAAAGTAAAAATGGTTTTAGGAGAACAACAATGAGTCTGAGGTGTTGACTTGGCCTCCAAATTCATTAGCTATCTGTGGAAAGTGCTGGACATACAAGTCCAATCCATGGAGTGCCATGCCAGTACTCACACACTGGAGTGTGTAATGGTACTTTAATAGGCACAGAGTTACTTTGAGAGTCAGTAATTAGCCCCAGAACACTCTGTATTTGTACCATAAGATGTTGATTATGAAATCAACAAACAAAACTTGGTTTCACAGGCAGCACTTCGATTATCTGTACTGTATACTTCAAAATTCACATCATCCAAATTCAAGGTCAAAACTGCTATCCACAGCCTTTCTGTTGCAGTATACGCTTTTCTTTTTGGATCTGATGTCTTTATTTGTCAGCATGTTATTTGTTTGTCTATGAGTAGGAGGTGTTTGATGTTATATCAGAGCTGCTAAATCAGAGCCTCTACTGGAAGTCCATGTGTGGCACGGCATTGGTTGAAATCCTTTATGCTGATATAATGGACTCGCCACTTTTAGAAAAACATATGCTCAAAAGATGTTAACCAATCGATACATTAGTTCTGTGACCTCAAAGAGATCTGATATCCAGGCAGAAATTACAAACATAATTCATTATGAATTATTCAGATGATAATGAGCAGTGCTCTGTGACCACTCACCAAGCAAATCAAATTATACAACAAATGCGGGGGAAGAAAGCTCCTTCAGCAAATATGATTACAGTACTGTGATAGCTCTAATGTGTTTTGTTTGTCACGGATGTGTACAGATGGAAAAGCAGTGATCACACACGATAGCACATCAGTAAGTTGGTCAAAAGCAGTGCCTGCAGTAAGTACCATTCATCTAGCTTTGGAGTGTGATTGTTTGAAAGTCTGAAATTTCATGACCCAGTTCCCATGCAGGTTTTTCAGAAGTGGCATCAAATGAAACTGTTCACAGGGTGATCATGTGGTGTTAGCAGAAACATCAATGATTCGCCTCACATCAAACACATCATTCATATCAGCACTAACACGGACAATGGCGGGAAATCAATTGTGTGGTTGCGTTTTCTGTATGGGCTTCTACAGTTTGTGTGTGTTTTGGAGGAAAATCAATGCCTGAAAAAAGAAAAAAATTACAGATTGTAATGTTTTCGAACCCTGTCAGTCCTCTTCCCTGCAGCCAGGACAGCTCATCACTTCATCACACCATTGGCTGTTTCTGCACAATAACGAGAGTGCTATTAACATATATGGAAATGCTGCATGATAACAGGAAGCTTCCCCTTCCCTCATGCCCGCTGTATGCACCCGTCTG